ACGTCTAGTCCCACCTTAGTCACGAAAGCCAGCTGGGTGACTTTGGGCCAATCACCAGGAAATGGTGAGTTCTAGTCCCGCCTTAGCCATGAAAGCTAGTTGGATGACTTTGTGGCAGGTCACAGGGTTGTGGAGGAAGATGTGTTGGATATGTTCAACACATATTGTAAAAATAATCAAGGTGGAATACAAATCAATCAACCAACCTATCTTATTTGAAACAAAAATAAAGTTTCTAGGGGTCCTTATTTTTGGTTTTGGCGACGAGTCCAAAAATCATCAGATACAATCTGAAGGAAAAACCTTCATCGCCAAGGATCCCAGATAGCTATCAGGATATTTTGAAGTCTAAAATAGCAGATTTTTTTATCCAAAGAGATGAATATAAGCTTTAGAAAGCCTCCCTTCTTGGCATTAGTAGAGGGCAGAACCCAAGTGCTGCTAACGAGGCTGGAATGATGGCGGCATTGATGTGATTACAGCAAGGAATTCTTCTCGTTGGAGAAAGATGATGGATGTTGGTGGAAGGCAACCTGTAAAACGGTTCCAGGGAGAGCTCCCTCTGGTGCGATTTATCTCCAGTGAGCTGTTTCAGCAAGCTATGGTTTGACAGATATGAAGAATGGGAGGAAGTGGAGTGAATGTGGCAGCTTTGGGACCAACGATGTGCGTTGGCAGAAGTGTAGGCGAGGAAGAGGATGAGGGTTTGGAAGCCAGAACCTCCGAACAAAGGAAGGAGGATCCCACTTGGGAAGACTCTTCATGAATAGGTAGCAATTCAGGATGGAAATTATGGAGCGGAGGACAAAATATTGCCCCCTTTCCAGCTTATATGTGCTCGCGATTGTGGGCAAACGTTAGAAGAAGTGGTTATGGAGAACCATCAACTTGTGTCCTTCCCACATCTCTCTGTAATTGCCAGGGCTTTGGCAGGGGAAAGAATGCTCCAGGTGTTCTTTTAGGAGAAAAAGAGATTAAGAGTTAACATAAATCAAGCTTACAGCATATTCAAATGAGAAGATGAAAAGATGGAGGATGTATGATAAAGAACCACCCAACCTCAAAAGGTTTTCCTGAAGGTTGCATAAGGAGATGAGGTAGAAATAAGGGACATTTGACAGAACCATCGAATTAGAGTTTTAGATTCTTTCTTTCTTCTCTATCCCTCTATCTCTTCCTTCCTTCCTCCAACCTTTCCTTCCTTCCTTCCTTCCTTCCTTCCTTCCTTCCTTCCTTCCTCCAACCTTTCCTTCATCCCTCCCTCCCTCCTTACCTCACCTCTTCCTTCCTTCCTTCCTCCCTTGTTCTCCTGTTTTCCTTCCTATTTTCCTTCCTTCCTTCCTAGTTTCCTTCCTCCCTCTCCTGTCTGTTTCTTTCTTTCCTTCCTTCCTTCCTCCCTCCCTCCCTCCCTCCCTTCTCTCTCTCTCTCTTTCTTTCTTTCTTTCTTTCTTTCTTTCTTTCTTTCTTTCTTTCTTTCTTTCTTTCTTTCTCTTCTTTCCTTCTTTCTTCCCTCCCTCCCTCCAACTATTATTTAGAAATCCAGAGAAAAAGTTAAGCAAATCCAAGATAATCCTTCTCATAATGTTCAAAGGATGGATGTAAGTTCCAGCTAGGGAGGCCATTGCTTTTAAGGCGGCAGGGGCCTTCTTAATAAGGCCCTTCTGCTCTGTTGGTGCTACAACAGGCAAAGTCCCAAGGCAACACCTTCCCCACACTGGAAGCAGGTTGTAGGTCTATCAACATCTGTATCCATGAAAGTTTATGTCTGAAACCTGAGATAAATCCTGGTTAAGCCTGAAGACCTCCAGATGTGTAGCCCGACTCCCAGAATTCTTGAGCCACTTGGACCTCTGCTGAGGATTCTGGAATGTCACATTGACACATCTGTAGGCTAGGGGTGCTCTGCTGCATCCATGCCACTATGAAAACATCTGGAAGACTAGTAGACCCAGGACTGAGCATGAGAACACCAAGGCTGATCCAAGAGAATTCTTACATCCTTATGAGGGCCCTCAGAAGAATGGACAATGTTGATTTGTTGATGTAATAAATATGTTTTGCACTTAAGTCATGCAGAAGCTGTCCATCTAAATGGAAATTCAATTATCCTAGCCTTGAAAAAGTCCTGGTCCATGGCAAAAAAAAAAAAAGGAATGAAAAAAAGAAAAGAAACTAAGAAAAATGTATTTGATAAATTGACTTTTCGGTTCAACACAGTCCAGCACTCCAGATGGCCACATGAAGACAGCAAAGAGAGTTTTATGCCATCTTGTGGTGGAATAGTTTTTTTTTTTAAAAAAAGATGGCAGTTGAGTAAATATTTCTGATTTACTGTGCTAAAGTCAAAGGATATTGCTCTAAAGCTGCTCCTTAACCCTAGGCAAAAAAGTGTTTTCCTTAATTCATCCGACATTTAATTTTATTTAGGCATCAAATTTACCATTTCTGTAGCTCACCCTGATCCATAGACTCTGGCAGACATTAGACGAAGGAAAGCATTAAAAGGAAAACATAAATTTTGGTATCCCCACCATATCCCCCATGTACAAACAAGAGGTACAGCTTCATTTGTAAGGGTTGCAGCTATTATATCAATCAATCAGAACAGAGCTGGAAGGGACCTTGGAGGTCTTCTAGTCCAACCCCCTGCTCAAGTAGGAGATCCTATACCATTTCAGACAAATGACTGTCCAATCTCTTCTTAAAAAACCCCAGTGTTGTTAGCATCCACCTTTTCTCCTTATTTCTAAGTTGCTTCTCTCCTTGATTAGTTTCCATCCATGGTTTCTTGTTTTGTCTTCTGATGCTTTGGAAAATAGGTGGACCCCCTCTTCTTTGTGGCAGCCCCACAAATATTGGAATACTGCTATCATGTCACTCCTAGTCCTTACTTCCCCTAGACTAGCTATACCCAATTCCTGCAACCATTCTTCATATGTTTTAGCCTCATCTTCGTTCTTCTTTCTACTTTTTCCAAAGTCTCAAACAACTTTTCGTAATGTGGTGATTTCAACCCACCTCCCCCTGCAAACAACCTTTTCTTGATTGCTTTATATATATACCGTAGGTCTTGTTGGAGCATTTTGTGAAGAATTGGAAAATCTTGCTTCAGGTGACCCAGGTGTCTATTTTATGGGGGGTTAGCTTGCTCTTGAGCTGAACTGAGTTTGTTGAAGGCAATTAGGCAAGGCAAACCGCCAACTTAGCAGCATCCATTCAAGCTCTGTGCCCAGCCCCAGCAATAAATTCCCCACGTTTTGCTGTCCGCCTTGGCTGTTTTGGAAACCAACCAGCTCACATCCATCTTTGACTAAGTAGCAAAATTTCTATCCTGGAGGCTTGTGGAAAATTCCTCTCCTGTTGAAGGTAAGAGCATGTTCAGATAGAGTTAAGAGGAATTTTAGTACTTAGCAATACCTGGAACAAAGAATAAGGGACCTTGGAGGTCTTCTAGTCCACCCCCCCCCCCCCGCTTGAACAGGAGGCCATATATCTTTCTTCTACATTTGAGGGCTTTCCAATCTCTTCTTGGAGATATCCAGTGATGGAGCACCCACAACTTCTGGAGGCAAGCTGTTCCACTAATTCATCCTCCTCCTCCTCCTCCTTCCCCCCCACTCTGCAAACCCCACTTCCTTCTGGCGCTGATGATGTTACCTAGTTGGGTAATGAAATGTCTGCAAAAAAAGCAAACCCAGAGAACACTAAGGACACTTCAGCTTCCTCCTCCTCCTCCCCCACTCTGCAAACCCCACTTCCTTCTGGCGTTGATGATGTTACCTAGTTGGGTAATGAAATGTCTTCAAGAAAAAAAACAAGCTCAGACACCACCAAGGATCCCTCAGCTTCCTCCTCCTCTTCCTCCCCTCCTCTGCAAACCCCTCTCCCTTCTAGCACTGATGAGGTTACGTAGTTGGTCAATGAAATGTCTGCCAGAAAACCACCAAGCTCAGAGAGCACCAAGGACCCCCACATTTCAGCCCTGAGCTGCAAAGATTCTTTTCTGCTGGTATTTATCCTTCTGCAACAGACCTTAATGATCCCGTTGAAAGAAAATTGCCGTCATTCTTCAAGCATGCACATTAAGCGACTGAAAGAAAATATAAATTGGGGGGAAAAAAAACCACCCCAAAAATTAAGATATGTCTTCTTTTTTTTAAACTGTGCTTTATTTAGGGCTAAGCTGGTAAGCGTCATTCATTAATTACATAAGATTACAAGGAGTTTTAGGGAACTGAGAATCAGAGAGCACTTTTATGGAATTGCATGGCATTTTTATACACCAAAATACCGGCTTGCTTTGGCAGTCAACTCCTAGCCAAACCACCGGAAAAGATTTGGGGGTGTTTAGCTAGTGTAAAGACTTGAAAATCAGATCCAAGATGAAGGGAAAAAAATAGAAAAAATAATATTTTTAAAGCTCCCCCAGATCTAGCCCAAAGGAAAACAATTGTTCAGAAAGAATAACAAATAATTCTTCGATCGATCTGATAAAATGGTAGGAGTGGGGGAGGGGAGGGAGGAAAGAAACTGCATACTTAAAAATCAAATCTGAATCCCGTGGAAATAAATTATAATAAATATGATATACTTTTAAAATATATGTGTTCTTAAATAATTGTTTCTATTTTTCTGATTCAGATTTTAAAACGTTTTTTTTCAACTGCTCTAAAGTCATTTACCAAAGATAAATATCGTGCTTCCTTAAATAGTTTTTTTCCTTGATTTTTTTTCTCTATCATTACAATTAAAAGTCCTACAAAATATGCAAATTTATTTACAGAAAAACAGAGCCAGCATCTTTTTTTTAAACATCCCCGTTTTTCAAAATTCCTTGTAAACAGTTTCAGAAATTCTTCAGAGATTGCATTTTTTTTGTAATTTTTTTTTGTGTGTCTGTATTTTTTCCCCCGTACTTTTATGATTTTTTTAAAGGTTTTTCTTTTTTTTAAGATTAAGGTTCTAGGCTAAATCCCCACACCCGCCCTGCCCCTCCCTGCCCCAGTCCTGAAGGATTTAGAACAAATATGGAAGCTATCAAAGCAGAAACTTAAATCGGTGGCTTTTGGCAATGTCTTGTGGAAAATGTCCAGAAAGGAAAATGTTTTTCCTTTCGTCCAATTGCAACTAACTTTGGCCTGGTTGATTTGCAAATTGCAACTAAGTTTGGCCCCATTGATTTTCCTTCTGTCAAGTTGCAACTAACTTTGAATTAGATAGCCGCTGAGTTATCGGTTGGTTCAAGACTTATGAGTGATTAATTATCCACCGATTTCGATACGACTTAGCAGAATGGTTATTGTCAAAAACTTGCCAAATTAAGCCACTTTCTCCTCCTGGCCTGTCCATCAGACACCGCTTCTGACAGCAGTTGATTAGAGCAGGATCGGCTATCAATCTAAACGCTACAAAAAAGTTTTCTACGACATCTTTGTGTGTTTTCTTAGCATTAACGCTAACGCCTATATATATTTTTTTGCTTTTTTTTTGCTTTTTACGTCATCTAATCTTCCCCCTGCCCCGTTATATAAGTATTTAAACTTTTTTTTTTAATTCTGTACAACTATTAGGGGTTTGGGTGGAGGAGGGGGGGGGCTTTTTATAAACAAGCTATCGTTCTACGTCGTATCAGCATTCTTTTCTTCTTCTTCATTCTCCTTAACAAAACACGAAGCCATATTTTTTTTCTTTTCTTCATGTGGCTTCCTCTTCCGCCAGTACTCTCTCCTGAACCTGCCCCTTCGAATCCCCCTCAGTCCATCCCTGTTATAAAGAAAACCATATGAAAGTTTCATAGACTCTAATTAAGGTATATCCAAAGACCTTCGAAAGTATCAAATAACTATTATCTTGCCATTTTTTTTAAAAGCGTCGAAGCAGTTTCAGTTTTTGTTTTGTTATGTTGTGTGTGTGTGTGTGTGTGTGTGTGTGTGTGTGTGTGTTTTACATTATTTCATAGAATTTGCTCTCCAAAGCTGTCTTAGCGGGAACAGCTAAGAGAAAAGGAAAGAACTTCTGAGTAATTTACATACAACTACAAGTCTGCGGTAAAAAGTTATGTCCTTTGGTCCCTATGTAGCTAAGGAATGACAGATAAAGAATGCTTAGTGATGGTTGCCATGGGCGACCATAGCAACCCCATCTGCGATGGCCACAGGCACACGTTCAGCATTTCCAGATTGGGGAAAAGCTATGATGGTTTAGATCAAGTTCACTGTAGAAATCGAAGTAATTCTTTTTTTTTTTCTCCTGCCATGATTTCTTTTCTTTTCCAATGTTCTTGATTTGTTCATCAGTTTTGGTTGTCCACCACAGGTCCTTCCAAGCCAGCCGAAGGCAACTTTCCTCCAAGCAAAGTTTCCAGTCCGATCAACCAGAAAGAGCACGAAAGTTCAAAGTCTTCCACTTGACTGAGATGTTTAAAGGTGTAATCCCACAGTTCTCATTCCTATATATATATTATTTAATATATATATATTTATTTTTTTATATATATATATCTATATTTATATATATTTCTCTAAGGGTGGCCCATCATTCAGCTGACGCCCTAAAAAGAGAGGAAAAAATGTTATTCCTAGCTGGACCAAACCCAAATCGATATATACAGATGTTTGTTTTGTTTTAAAGATAGGGATAGAAGAGAAAGGGAAGAGAAAGTTTCCAAAAAGCATACCTTATAATCAATAAAGAAAAATAAAACACACACACAGATTTAGGAGAACACCTGTTTCCAAGACAATCTTGTTCCCGTTATGGAAACGTCATGCAAATTTAGTTATACTTGCTTTGTTTGTTTGTTTGTTTTTTTTTAAAAAAAAACTTGGATAGTGTGATAGGACCCATCTTCCCTTCAAGATATTTTATTAATATTTTCTAGGAATATCCCAGATAACTGTGAAGAACATCTGGTCATCCCATCTCAAAGGTGTCTCTGGCTTAACAAATAAGAGAAGCAGATTACGAAAGCTACCTAAACAGGATGTTACTTCTGTATTGACTTGGGACCCTAATATTTGTTCAACGTTGTAGCATAAACAACATTTTCTCTATCCTCTTCAAATGAGACCTCTAGGTGTTGGTTTATTGCAGACGTTTGATAAACCGCATTAAGTAACATCATCAGTGCTACTACATTTCATCATCCAGCGCTGATGATGTTATCTAGTTGGACGATGAAATGTCTGCAAGAAAACAAGCAAGCTCAGAGAGAACCAGGGACTCCACATTTCAACCCTGAGTTGCATATATTCTCCTTTATTGTTTTTTATCTTCTCTGCATCTGGGAAGCTGCTGATGCCCCCAAAGAGAGCTGTCCTCAGAAGAATCCTGTGTTGTTCATCCATCACTAAAATATGGGAATTTGGCCCTCTATATTTCTTACATTTTCTATCCGAGAGATGCTTTTTCAAAAAGGCAGTTGGACTTTCTTGGTTTTTTTTCCCTTTGAAAACATTTCGCCTCTCATCCAAGGAGCTTCTTCAGTTCAGAGCTCAGTTGAGTTGGGAATCTCCACAGATATTTCTATATTTTCTGTCTTCTCTCTTCCTTACTGTCAGATTTCTGTACTGGCTCCATACTGGGACCTCCATACTGACCTTAAAAACTACAGGATACTCCTGTGTAGCAAAGGCCCACCCAAGTCTCTGTTGAGACTACAACAGAGAGGAAACCTCTGTCTAAATGTTGACTTTATGTAGGCTTTTCCACAATCAGCCAAGTGTCTGTTAAATCAGATCTTCCTAAATATTCTACAGCCTTGTAGGAACTTCTGAGTTGGAAAAAAAAAATAAAGACTATTGCTGTTACATCCTGCTTGACATTTCAGGACCCTATCAACATACAGGTATTCCTTGCCTTACGACCATTTATTTAGACACCGTTCAGTTACAAGGGCCATTTTTCACACTTACAACCATAGGAGCATCCCCATGGTAACATGGTCAAAATTCAGACACTTGGCAACTGGCATGTACTTATGACTGTTGCAGCATCCCAGAGTCATGTGATCTCCTTTTGCGACAAGCAAAGTCAAGGGGGAAGCAGGATTCACTTAACAACTGTGGGACTGACTTGACAACTGCAGCGATTCACTTAACAGCCGTGGCAAGAAAAGTTGTAAAATGGAACATTCACTTAACAACTATCTCGCTTAGCAAGAACAATTTTGGGGGCTCGATTGTGGTCGTTAAGTCAAGGACTGCCTGTGCTGTGTACCTCTGATTTTGTGTTGTGAAAAATCTGGATCCTGTACGGATCTTGGTACTTGGGACTATAACTGCAATTCCTAAAATGTTTTTTTTTAAAAAATATTTTATGCTACTGTTGAAGGAAAAGTCTTTATCATGGTTCAGTCCAAGCCGGGAATAAACAACATGGCGACTGCTTTAAAAAGAAGGTTGCAGTTTATTGAAAAGGAGAGCCAGACAGAAAGATGGCTCTGGGATAAAAAAAGAGAGAGCACATGTAGGGAGTGGGTTTTTATACCCTCTGGAGTCTTTTGTTTGGAGTTGTTTCCTGTTCCTGTTTGAGGCTATTTCCTGTGTCATGTATTCTGACATGTGTCCCTTTGACATCTGTGAGTTAATCCTATTATGTCCTGTCTTAGAGTTTGGGTGGGGTATGTAGATTTTAGGTGTCTTTGTCTTCTTAATCTTCTAGCTTCAACCTTCCTGAATAGTTTACATCTGCATTTCTACAGAGCTGGTTTCCGTTTGGGGGAGGGAGACTTAGGGCTATTAAGAAAAACTGGGCATGCTTTTCTGCCTCTTTAATATTTCCTTCTCTGGGGGAGGACTGACTTCCCATGCTACATTTTAATCGCTCTCCCTAAGCGCCTAGATTTGTCTCAGGCAAAACAGGCAGCATGCAAGTTTAATAAATAAAATAAATCGGTTGTAAATGTTTTGAGTCCCTCCCGGGCTGTGGTCTCGGGAAGGCCAGCTGCTGATAAAGTATCACAAAAAGAAATGCCTCAAACAGAGTGCTCGAAATGCAAAATGGCTTGGAACAGACTTCCTGTCTCTCCATGCAAGAAAAGCGAAGGTAAAAAAAAAACGTAAGGCTAACGTTTCTTAAATAAAAAGAAAATTTTGAAGCACGATTCCAGCTGAACTTGACATTTGGGGAGAATGTTTAATCGTTATGGATTAGCTCTTATCTCTTCTCGTCTTATAGACTCCGGTGATTTATTATGTCAAGAAAACTTAAGAAAGAAAAAAAAACTACAGAAGCTTCCTTTCTCATGCTTTAGATCAACCATGCTGGCAGGTTTTTTTCTTTTCTTTTCCACACTGTTGATTAAACAAACAGCAAACCATACACAGCAGTTGAAACAATTACGACACCGAAAACAATAAGAATAGAAGAAACTAAAGGAAAAAACAAGAAACAAAAACACTCATCCAGGACCCTTTTTCAGTTGCAACTAAACAAAAAAAAAAAAATATGGACAAGGCCGTTTTAGATTAGAATCAGGTGTTTTTTTTTGTTTTTTGTTTTCCTTTTTAACCTTAAATGGTGTTTTCGGCACCCTTCCCCAAAGCAATGGATTTCTTAAGCGTGATTGTGCTGGCAAACCTTAAAAATTGGAAATTTTTGATAATAAGGCACTTAAGAAGCTCTTTTCTAGCTTGCTTTGGTACTGTAGCTCTTTTCTTTTTGCACACTGCAATTAACTCTGATTGTTTTTTTTCCCTTTGGGGAGAAGGATTAGAACTATTTTAAGGAAGAAAGAAAAGAAGAACGATCAATTGAAAAAGGCCCCCAATTCGTTTAAAAAACACAAGTATTTAGGGTGCAAAAAATATACCAATCATACAGTTCTGTTTCCTGACTTGTTGGAAATTACTCAAACAAGAGACAACCATCCCATTTTTCTGCCCTCCCCCTAAAAGAATTAGAAATTCATTTCACCCCCACCCACCTTTCCAGGTGATCTCTAAAGAAGCATTATAAGTTGCTGAACAAGAAAAAAAAATCAGACCACAAAGAAACCACTGCAAGCACTAAAAAAGGAAACAAATGAATAATAAAGAAAATAAACATGAGCACGGCAATAAAAAACTGTGGCAGCACAGTCAAGAAAGGCACAGGTGATCATGACTTGGCCAATCATTGAACTGATACGACATCCAAGGAAAATAATGTTTCAATCACAGCACCTCCACGAAACTTGACGGCAGGTCATGCAACCAATTCTGAGCTGAGTTACACGGTGCCATCATATCACACTGTCAACTTTGAGTTGAGGTTGTTGAACTTACGGACTGGGGGGGGAGACTCTTTTCTCCACTTTCCTGTCATTAGTTTTTTCCTAGCTCAGCCCGAGACTGTGGTGGATTTGACTGGCTCTTGGTGGTTGGGTTGGAATTTGATTGAATGACAAAAGAAGAAAAGAGTTTTTTTATATAGATATTGATATATTTATATATATTGTCTGGGGGGGGAAGGTGGGGGAGAAAGGGGGAGAGGTGGGAAGGAAGAGAGAGATTTTAAAAAAAATCCAAAACAAAAACAAGAGGGAGGGAAGGAGAGAGAGAGAGAGGGACGGAGAACAAGAAGAATAGGAGGGAGAGGAGGAGGAGGAAGAGGAGAGAAGGAGGAGAGGGAGAGGGGGAGGAGGAGGAGGAAAAAGAAAGAAAGAAGGAGAAGATGAGAAAATAGAGGAGGAGGAAAGGAGGGAGGAGGAGAGAAGGAGGAGAGGGAGGGAAAGGAGAAGGAGGGAGGAGGAAGGAGAAGGAGAAAGGAGAAAGAAGGAGAAGATGAGAGGGAGAGGGGAAGGAGAAGAAAATGGAGGAGGAAAGGAGGGAGAAGAAGGAGGAGGAGAGAAGGAGGAGAGGGAGAGGGAAAGGAGAAGGAGGGAAGAGGAAGGAGAAAGAGAAAGGAGAAGATGAGAGGGAGAGGGGAAGGAGGAGGAGGAAAGAAGGGAGAAGAAGGAGGAGAGGGAGGGAAAGGAGAAGGAGGGAAGAGGAAGGAGAAAGAGAAAGGAGAAAGAAGAAGATGAGGGAGAGGGGAAGGAGGAGGAGGAGGAAAGGAGGAGAGGGAGAGGGAAAGGAGAAGGAGTGAAAAAGAAGGAGAAAGAAAAAGGAGAAGATGAGAGGGAGAAGGGAAGGAGGAAAGGAGGGTGAAGGAGGAGAGGGAAAGGGAAAGGAGAAGGAGAAAGGAAAAAATGAGAGAGAGAGGGAAAGGAGAAGGATGGGAAGGAGAGGAAGAGGGAAAGGAGAAGGATGGGAAGGAGAGGGGAAGGAGAAGGAAATGGAGATGGAGGAAGAGGAGGAGAAGTCACTAAAATACAGCATTGTTACAAAAAGCTGTAATGAGCACACAACCAAACGAAGAGAAAACAAAAAAACAAACAACCAAAACCAAAACCAAAACCAAGAAACGGAAACGAAAAGGAAAAGGAAGAAATCAAAAGGAATGGAGGAAGCCTAGCCAAAGACACTCTTAACACAAAAGACACAATTCATGTGGACACATAAAAACAGCGACCATTAACACAACCATGTTGTGGCAGCTGAGAGAAGCACGCATTCAATGGATGGCGGC